AAAAATTAATTCTTAGCCGTTCTCTTATATTTTCGCCTTAGATTTTACACGCAGCTTAGCTTATTCATCAAAAGCAGTTGTAAACTTGATAAGACTTCCTGAACCGATGTTGAATTTTTCGATATTTTTCGGTTTTTATGATTTTTATAATTCAAAATCAAATGGTTAGCAGTACCCTCATAGCAAGCCTTTTATTTGAGCACGCATTATTTGCAAGTTATTTGGTTACTTATAGAAACTTGTATATATTCTACATGGTGATACCTACGTATATTATATGCTATTCCTCATATGGTAATTATTTATTTTGATGCTTTGCTAGAATAACTGTTATCACATAATGTGCTGGTAATTACATGATATTGATTAGAAAAATAAAAACAATACTAGTAACAGATTTCTACAGAAGCAAACACAGTTCGATACAAAATTATTTTATTAAGGAATAAATTAAGTTAAAAATGAAATTATGGTACGTGAAAGTTTATCAATGTTGTCCTCTAAAAATAATGTCTGTTGATGTAAGGATACACAGGCACACGCACACACAAATGCACGCAAATGCATTAAAAAAAAATCTCAAATATTTAAATATTCAACAAAATTCTAATGAACGAGAAATTTAAATCAAAAAATCATTACAGGAATTGCAGACGAGACGACCAACGCAGCCGACCAACGAACGACATGCATTCTTGCGCGCGTTAGATATTTATTTTAACGCATATGTTCCAGCCCATCGCAGTGGTAGCGCAACCGTTACAAGCAAACATCTCGTAAATCTACAAGGTGATGATTTACCGATTGAACATAGGCATTCGAAAACCAAACTGACAATATGGTTCGGTCGAATGTTATGCGTGGGTATGAATTGCCAAACATTTACAATCGAAACAGGCGATGTTGTCATGTTGGTTGCTGCGACATAGGTTCATAAATATCAATGATGATTGCATTGCAATTCACCCAGATTGATCAGTCATGCAGATTGTAGAAAGAAATTTAATCACGTTTCATCATATGACCATCGTAGGTTACTATACTATGGCCATATGTACTTGAAAATGTAAGTACGTACATCTAATGTCTTTCACTTTGACCGATGAAAATTGATTACATATTAAAAATAATAGTCACAAAGAGCAGAATTCGTTTAAATACACGTTGACCGGTGCATTAATTATGCATCTACTTGAATGTCAGAGTTTAAACCTTGATGAATTCACGTGCGCATAAAAAATTAGGAAATGTTAATAATATTTTAACTTTAATTAAATGTTACCAATAATAATGCAACGCTGCAAAATAATTCATAACAAATACAATAATATTTAGAATGCATTAATTTAAAAGGTTAATATCCATTGATTGATTGATTGAATGAATGAATGAAGGAATGAACGAATGAATGAATGAATGAATAAATGAATGGCTAATTGTATGAACAGATATATGATTGAGTAAATAAAAATAAAGAGTGAACGAAAGAACGAACAAATGAAGGAATGAACCATCAGTAGAATATAACAGGCACTACATTATTCTATTAAATTTTCATCTGGGGTATGTATTATCGTAATTTGCACAATTAATTAATCAATTAAGTCAATTAAATTAATTAATCGATTGATGAAATAAGCTAAAATAATTTATCAAGTATGACAACGTAAAATTGGAAAACTTGCTGAAAAAATAATATGTCCAAAAAATGTGATTAAATGGAACGAGCAACAACTACAACGGAAATCGGAACATACGTCTTTTATACATTATATAATATACATATATAAATATATATTCTATAAATTCTACCGAATGTTTTTTCGTTTTTTCGATTAATCATCGTCAACAAGGAGCACTGACGATGATTCATTCGGAATCGAAATATGGCCTTATTTGCAGCATGAATTCGAAAAATAAGTTTATTTTGAATTTTAATAAACTAAACGTTCACCAAAAAACTTTAGTGAGAAAAATCGAAAAAACGAACTACAAACATATTAACGCCAAACATTCGGTAAAATTTATAGAATATTGTAAAAATTATGGTCTATTACCAACATATAAATATATATATTAAGACTGTCAGAAATATATTTATTATATATATACATATATATATATATACATATATATATATATATATATATATATATATATATATATATATATAGTTATGCAATTATTGATAAAAATCGCAGCATGTTCCGCGTTAGTTTGCTTCTCGTTTCATTTTCTGATTTTTCTAAAGGTAGATCGTAAATCATTGTCAAGTTTCTTGAGTTCAAAACCAAAATTTTTATTTTAAGCATTATAGAACAGAAAAGCTTTATTCCTATACCATCTTCGGTGTTCAAATGGATACGTTTTGTATGTGGCTAAATGCTCAATTATTTATACAATGTTAATTCTTTGTTTAAAGTGAATTATTCCTCAGTTAATTTAATATTACGACAATAACTTTATGCGAATACACTACGATCTTTAATTGTGAGCAATATGACACTTTTACGTGTCATTATTATCGATGATTCCTCTCGATTGATTTCTAAATTTTTTGGTGGGAAGGACTAAAATTGCACGTTAAATATTTATTATCGGATGTCTTTGTTCTATGAGTATTGATTCGGCCAATCGTAAATTATCATGGTTGTCATTGTTATGTAAGATTTTAACATTGTTGTCCAAGTTTTGGTTTTGAACTCAAGAAACTTGACAATGATTTACGAACTACCGTTAGAAAAATTAAATAGGCAGCTAATTAGCGCGGAACATGTTGTGATTTTCATCAGTAATTGCATTCCTGACAGTCTTAATCATATATATATATATATATATATATATATATATATATATATATATATATATATATATATATATATAGTATTGTATGAATTTTACAAAATTGTTGGCATTAATCATTTGAAGCTTTGTCTTTTCAATTTTCCTTACAAGAATTTTTGGAAATTGTTCAACTTATTGAAAATAGAATTATTGTCCAAGTTCATCATGAAAATTTAATAAGACTTGTCATCACAAATCATCTTCAGTGCAGTGTGCACTTACACTGAAGATGATTTGTAAAAAATCCGCATGACAAATTTGGATAGCAACAGTTTTATTAAATTTTCATGATGAACTTGGACAATAACTTTATGTTTAATAAATTGAACAATTTCCTAAAAATTCTAGTAAGGAAAATTGAAAAGACAAACTTTGAATTGATTAATGCCAACAATTCCGTAGAATTTATACAATACTGCATAAAATATGGTCTCCTTCCAACACATGCGTATACGTATATTTATAATATTAATAATTAACGGTTATACAAAAATGTAAGCCAAATCTAATATTCAAAATTATTATAAAAGACATATATCCGCACATATAGACGCACATACAAACACACACAAACATACCAATGTGACGTACGAATCGAAAATATAAACAATAAAAAATTAATAATAGTAATAATAAAGTGGTAATAATAACGTTGATATAAAATACAGGCTAAATCAACGTAAACGTACTTAAACGCTAACACGTGCACAGCTAGATACGGTAGATGCGTGTACAAGTGTTTGTTGTACGCTAACGTACGTTAAGTAAATTTATTTTACGTACATGCACTTGCGTATGTATGCGTTTGTAAGAATGTTTACGTGGAATAAAGTTTATGCTAACACACATAGGCGCAGGATTGTTATGAAATAAAAAGTGAAATGATTGAAGAAGAATTAATTACTTAACAACCAATAACTGCACGCTAACGTACCTTTACATGTATATATGTTGCGTATGTACGTGTGTGTGTGAATAATTGTATGCACGTGAGCACGCATGTATATCAAATGAATGTCATGTAGTACCAACGTGTATTTGTATTGTACCCGTGTTAAGCAGCGTAGGTTATCGTATGCCAGTGAAATTGTTGATATGAAAATCATTTTTTTGAAATTAAATGTCTGACGATAACGTATTGAATCTATATATATATATATATATATATATATATATATATATATATATATATATATATATATATATGTATATACATATTACCTCCATCACTATCATTATCATGGAAAGTCAGAGCTGAAATGCGTTCATAAACAACAAATTGTCATCTTTGATGAAATGAATGGGCAAGCAAGTTGAATGCTGTTAACCGATTTACATCAATACTCTTTTGAAATTTAATATTAATAAATGATTGTTAGAAATTGAAAGGGACAAAAACAGTGAAAAGTTTATGAATTGAACAAAAAAATTCATCAACTTAACTAAACAAACAAACGAAAATGATGAACGAAATATTTATTAAATTAACAGTGTACGTCAGTCAGTCAGTCAGTGTTTTCTTACTCGTAAATAATAAGGGAATGTATGATGATGATACACGATTGAAAAAGTTCTTTGATTGATGAATGATTGAAGACAGTGATGATTTTAAAATGGTTGAATCAATCGATCAACGGACGAAAGCTGTGCTGTTTATTTGTTGTTGGTTGGTTGTTTGATTAGCTAACTCGCAAATTACATAACAAGTAACAAATAGCAACCAAAATATTTTATTAACATTTGAAAATATCACCAAAAAAATTAGATAAAAATATGTAGATAACAAACTAATCAACCGAAGTGAAACTTGACAACAACCCAATCATTGAAGCAGCATTAAAAGCCAATCGGCTCGTCCACCAACCAATCAATCAATCAATCAGTCAACCACCTGTTACTGATTTAATCATGGAATACCCAAATCAATCGAAATAACAAAACGACCCAACATAGAAATCATGGAATGAATGAAGCATTTGAATGTTGAATGGATGAATGAATAAATGAATGAATGAATGAATGAATGAATGAATGAATGAATGAATGAATGGATGGATGGATGGATGGATGGATGAATGAATGAATGTATGAATGAATGAATAAATGAATGAACAAATGAGTGAACAAATGAGTGAACAAATGAGTGAACGAACGAATTACATTTCATCTTCTCTCGGCGCAGGAACTAATATAACAGATCCGCTATGGTTTTGAATGGTGTTCTTTACCTCTTCGTATATCTCGTCGAATGTCTCACCTGATATCATCGCTAGGAGTGATTAGAGTAACAATGATATCATCACTCATGTATGATACTATCATCACAATCATCGATATCTATAATCATCATTATTATTATCAGTGTTCTCATCATTTCTAACCCTAACCCAACATCATTCTGATCATTATCATTGTTAACATTAATTCATTGTAATCACCTTAACTCTCAACAAGTCATAAGCATCGAACCACCATCATCGTCGTCATCAGCATCGTTATGCAACTTCCAATACCATCATCATCATCATTGTCACCATCATCATCATCATCAACATCATCATCATGCAAGCGTACCAGTAAAGTAAAGTCCATATTCTTGTTCAAGTTTGACGGCTCTTTCATAGGATTTCTTGACTTGATCATCTGACACTTTGGCATTCCAATGTCTGCGTAGAGGTCAACATCATCATCATCGTCGTCGTTATAATCATTATCTATTATCTAGGTCAACATCATCATCATTGTCGTCGTTGTCATAATCATTATCTAGTATCTTCACCATCATAAACATCACCGACATCATCATTATAACTATAATTATTTCAGTTATTAACTTATCAACTGTTAGAAGCTTTATAAAGTTCACCACCATTAGCAGATTTTGCAAGCAACCTCCAATCACAATTTGTCAAAAAATATTTTCACTTTTGAACAACCATGAATCAACTCTTCTCTACTGTTAACATTACAAAAATGTCTTAAATCCGTCCTAACTACAATCAAGTCAACGTCATCGCTAACACAATCACCGTCATACTCTCTACAATCGTCCCCCCCGTCATAATCACCAAAATCACTCACATCACCATCGCACTCATCCTCATCATCCCACCACTCACTTAATGTTCTCCATGGATAAAGGTTTGATGAGGATTGCGATGGGGTGGAGGTCGGCTGCCCTCAACCTTCTTATAGCATTTCCACTCACATCCAACACACAGTGCTTATCCTATGATGTGATGATGATGTCATTATGATATGGGATGAAACTGATGATAATAATGTAAAGATGAAAGCAGTGATGATGAAGTCGACGGTAATGTGATGATGAGATTGTGAGATAACAAAGTATCACCAATTAGATACTCGACAAAATATTTTACCCAAACCTCAAGTCGTCCACATAAAATCATTCACATGTTTTCATCTTCCACCCACTTTCATCATCTAAGAATTTAACATTGACCGGCCACACCAAATCGCCACTGACCACCACCACTGACCACCAGCGCTTACTTTAACTGCGACATCCCTGACCGATTTGATACTCGTGCCATAAAGATTGTCGCTGTACTGACCAGCCTCGATGAATAGGTGGTTCTCGATGTCCCTTTCCATCTGCTCGCGACTGGACACAAAGTGGTAGTCGCGTCCGTTCACTTCATCTTCACGTCTCGGGCGAGTTGTGTCTGGATGAAGTTAATTAAAAATTTATTTAGCCATATTATATCCTTGCATCCGTTTTGAACTTCAGTAATTCCAAAAAGTCGTAACTGAATTTATTTAAAATAATTTTCAATGTAGTTAGTTTCATGAAAAGTTAACTGACCTTGAATCATCATCAAATCTTATGAACACAACAAACAATCATAACCAAACTAACATAGCGTGAAACAATGTTAAAATAGATCCCAAATCAGCATTCTATCATCACTCATAGTGATGATCATTCTCACGTTAAACCCATACCGTTATTTCCATTTCAGTTTAACAAGAAAGGCCCCAACATCAAAAAGCTTATCAGCAGCAAGCACTTACGTGGAATACAATTCTCAAAGAACTGAGGATATTCGGAGAGGAGGTCGTCATTGATCTGATCCTTCAGCGGACCCAGTATTATCACCGGTCGTGCGTAATCAACTGACGGTACAACGACGGCGATACGTTGGTGATGACGACGGCGACATGGTGACGGTATCATAATGATGATGACGATGATTAATAAGGTTAGGTATATGATGATGATGATATTATAAGATATAGTTGAATATATTATGATAACGGTAATGGCCGCAATGATGATGATGGTGATGATGATGGGGCTGATGATTATGACAGTGTTTGTAATGATAATAAAGCAAACAAAATTGGTAGCACTCATGTTACAGATGATGAATGATGAGATTAAGTGACTATAACACACGTACAAAAGCAACAATGAGCAAAATTATAAAAAAATGCAACCAAAAAAAAGATTCACAATGCTAAACAGTTAATATATGCAAATTATTGAAATCTATGATTTAAGCTATCACGTGACAAAGTACCTTCTTTTTGCACCATTGGTTCATAAGACATCACGTTATCATCTGTTTAAAGAGGTAATTAATTCACTCATATGTGATTTCATCATTTCATTATCATTTAACGTCAGTTAGAAATTTCAAAACCAAAATTCCGAAATACAAAATACAACAATGGTAAATGGACAAAAGGGAGCGATTAATCTGCATAATAAATATTACGACCAAACGACGTTGCAACAGAAGCAACAGTATTAAAATCAGACAACATTACGATAACAAGTAACAACAATATAATGCAACAACTGCAACATGTAGCAACAACAACAAAATGTTACAACAGCATCATACCATCGGGTTCAGTTGCTGATTCGCCAGTTTTGCTCTTTTTCTTTTTTTTCTAGAGAAGTGAAAAAATTATGCAAACTAATTTTTAAAAAATAGTTTAAAACAAAACGAACAACAGTAAACAAGAAATTATTAAAAATTATATAAATAGATAAAATAAATAAGGAAATAAATAAATAAAAAATAAAATGTAAAATACAAACCTTTCCATCTTTAAGACCTTTCAATCTGGCACGCTCCTTGGCCTCAACTCTACACATTTCATAATAAAGTTTAGTGAATGTTCACGATGATAAAATAACGGTAAACGTTACAGATTTCGGTAACTATTAATTATCTTAACATAAATAATTTTAACGTAGCATAACTATGGATGTAATTAGTACCAGTAGGTGCAACATAACTCTGGTAAAATTAATCAGCCCCATTTATAATCATAACATAAATATTAAACAGATAAGAACGACTCATGATTTAATTAATTTATTAAATATTTATAAAGCTAGAGATTTATAAAGTAAACAGTTACTTCAAAACTGATGCAAATATTTTTATTGAGGAAGTTTTTTTACGGCTTCGATAGGCAGATTGAACATGGCGTGGTTAGTTTTCACTGTGCCAATTATATGCCAATCATTTACTCATCTATTTTACAAAAGCTGATTAAGAATAAGTACAAGTACTACATAGTACACTACGGAGATTTAATCGTACACAATGCTGATATATTTTTCAAGTTCTGTACAAAATGTATTTGAAACAACTTTCTGCTTTTGTTCAGGCTACTTCAACCGCCTTAGCTAACCCATGAAAAGCGCAAACAAAACAAAATACAAAAGAGGATTTATGTGAATATGAACGGTAAATTGGTTATGAAAGACGGTGCAATAAGGAAACATGATGAGATGCGGAATAAATGATTACGAAACAAATATGGCGTACCTTTGCTGGCTAGGTATTACACCAACCGAGTCGTCTTCTGGAATGACCTTTTGAACCTTAAGTTATTAATTTTTTTAAATTATATCCATCAGCCCCAACTGCAACACCATCATTCCATCATCATCATTAATCAACATCAACAAGCTATAATCATAACAGCACGATCATCATTACTGCATCATCAACATTAACAACATCATCGCCCTACCATCACTGACATCGTGGTCTATCAACATTATACATCCCACCAACCTGCCACCACTCTTCATCAATGGCACTGACAACATGGAACACGTCACCAAACTTGAAACTGATTCCCCGACCAGGAACTTCCGGATCATCAGAGGCATTGAAGTTGAAGAGAGCTCTGAGTGGTCAATAATTTTATGAGATTATTTGATTGGTTCATGAAGGTAAGTTGATACATTGACAGAATGGTTGGATGAGATTTAAAAAACATTTTTCAGTTGCAGATAACCTTATGCTGACCTTTCAATTGGATACAGTGAAAATAAAATAAACGAAAAGAATTTAGAGCAAGTGACCTTATGAAGATGCCCTTGTTTTGGTTGTTGGATTTAAGGCTGCTCAAACTGGCGTTCAACATCTGTTCCCGCAGGTCACTTATCTTTGCCTCAAACTGGTTGAACTCTTATTTAATAAAAATATTAAATGAAAAATAAGTATGTGATCACGTGAAAAATATTTAAAATCTGACTAATAGAAAAAAGAAAAATGCAAGGGTTCCTATTGAATGAAGCACTGCAAAACTAACCATCAATTCGGTACTGGGCGACAATCTCGACCTTATCTCCAGCTCCCTTCAGAGCAGCTGCTGCCTGCTCGTGCGTTGCCTGCCTCATGTCTATCCCATTCACCTGCAATCACGTTAATGGTTCACTTATTGTTAGAGAAAAAGTTAATTAATAAAAATGCTCTAGATTATTTAAAACTATAAGCTTCATCATTTCATACTAAAAGTTTCTTACCCATGGCTATAATTTTACTCTATGGTATAAAACTAGAGATGAATCTTGTAAATGAATCAAGATAAATGAACTGACTGATAATATCTGATCTCCTTTGTGCAGCTTGCCACTGAGGTCGGCAGGACCGCCTTTCAGGATGAAGGAAACAAAAATTCCTTCCGCCTCCTCCCCTCCCACAATGTTGAATCCCAATCCCGATGTTCCTTTCCTCAATATGATCTTGCGAGGTTCTCTGCAAATGATCAGTTTTAATATTTTATTTAAAAATATGATGTTTCTAATGTTTATGTAAAAAAATAAAAACGCGGTTTTAATGCATACCTTGACATTGCTTTGCTTGTCTTGTCATCCTTCACAATGTCAGCATTGCTGTTGTTACTGCTACTAGGTGGAAGTTTCGGTTTTTTGGCTGTTGCTAATAAAACGGGAATAAAATTAATTTTAAAATTATCAAATTCACACGCTACTAAAAAAAACCTGATCCGAAAAAGTTAAATAGATCATAATTTTAAGGACTGCCTAAAATAATCGAAAACAACAACACTAACAGTAACAAATAATCAACAAAAACTCTCCCCAACAAGTAAAAAATAACCTGGTTTTGATTTTTCAGGTGCCTTAGGTTTTTCAGGTTTGAAAGTTTCTTCATTGGAGGCACCAGCACCACTGCTGCCACTAGCGACATCAGCGGCAGCACCACCAGAAACAACGGTGGTGGTCGTGGTCACTGTTGAGGCTTTTTTAGATTTGCCAATAACAAGTTTCACTTTATCCTTGGTTGATTTCAAAATGGCCACAGCTTCTTCGTGAGTGACATTCGTTAGAGGAATATCATTCACCTGTTCATTGTGCCGGCGGTTGTTACATATCACGTGGATACAGCGTCAAATAACTCGGCAAAAACAAAACAATGGATGCAAAATTTAAATGTTAAATACAAATGTAGAAAAATTCAGCTAAAGAAAATTGAAATATATAATCCTGAAGAAGCATGTTACAAAGAGAAGAGCAGAGAAGAAGGACCAACCGAAATTAATCTATCCCCTGCCTCAATCATCCCACTTTCCTGGGCTGCACCACCATTGGTTAGTTTTGTGATGAAGATGCCATTGTCATCCTCAACATGCTGGTTGCCCACACCCCCAGCTATGCTGAAACCAAGTCCTGTATGTGTTTGTGTGTGTTTGTCTGTTGTTTGTGTGTGTGTGTGAGTGTGTGTGTGTGTGTGTGTGTGTGAGTGTAAGAGAGAGAGAGAGAGAGAAATGTGTAAGCTTGTTGTGTGTGCGTCCTTGCAACTGTAAGAAGAATGTGTGCGCGTGTTTGTAATTCGCCCACATTCATCAAAATTATAATTTAAATTAAGACCTCCCAAAAGTGATAATAAACCAATATAACAATTAGATCTAATTAAATTGATATTGTAGTTGGTGAAATTAATCACAAGCAAGGGTTGTAGTGGTTGTAATTATATACGGAATATATGAATATTCATGATGAAATTTTAAACGAACTCACCTCTGCCAGCTTTCACGAGTTCAACAGGTACCACCATTTCACTAGATGGCACTAAACGTTTCACAACCTGTTTGTGTGATCAATTAGAAACAATTAAATAGGTTGCTAACCTGATTTTTAAAGGATGAAATCCTTTTCAAATAAACATCAAATCTTACAACTTTTTATAAAGCTTTTAAGAAAAAACAACTGGGAAACTGGGAAAAAAACAGAATATTTTTTGAAACTGGACAATATACAATATTTCATCATTATGATATTTCAAGCAACGATAGACAGACAGACCAGCTTGACTTGTTTTCCCGCCTTCTTAAGAGCTTCCACACTCTGTGCATGAGTCACATTCATCATTGATATGTCATTCACTGATACTAAGATGTCGTTTACCCTTCAAATTCAAAGTTCAATTCAATGTTTTGATCAATGCAATGAAAGTTTAGAATGAAGTATTGTCGTAAACCACAGATCAAAAACAAAAACAACTAAAACAACAATAAAAGCAATAATAATAAAAGCAACAGCAATAACAAAAAAGCAAAACAACTGCAACTAACTTCAGCCTCCCATCCATCTCAGCAGTGCCCCCCTCAATGAGTTTTGTGATGAAAATGCTGACATCATCTCCAATGTGTGGGTTGTCCGTGCCCCCTGCAATGCTGAAACCTAAACCTGAAGGACCCTTTAAATTTTTATCAAATTCTATTGTCAATCTTTACCTCTTCTGTAGCTACTTCAAAATTGGAGTAACGTTTTTTTGTGTGTTTATTTATTTATTTATAAAAATTGTATTTGTACAGTATTTTTATTATGTTTATATTGTTTTGTATTGAAATGTATTGTAATGTGTATTGTATTGCAAATTTGTATTGAATAAAAGTATTGCATAATGAAAAATTTCATTACAGAATTATGTTGTATTGTATTGTTTTGTACAGGTCTGAATTGTTTTCTACTGTTTTGTTTTGTATTTTATGGTATTCTTTTTTCTATTGTATAGTGATGTATTGTGTAGTGCCTGCTAAAGCTTTCTTCAGAGGTGTGATCAATATAAAGCGATGCCATTATTAATTACTCTGGTGATAGAGTAGGTTAGATTAACATTTATATCTGGCATCAAGAGTTATCTTCAAAAGTAGTCACAATGAGGTTCATGATGGAAAATATATATTCCAAAAAAAGAAGAATAAAATGAACACCCACTCTTTCCAAGGTTATCTCTTCATATTCCCACTTTTCAGATTCTGTCGTCTGGTTAAGAAAGAAGCATAATTATCTGTATGCTATTAATTTTAATTGGATAATTAAATATAATTTAATAGAAAACTTAAATTTAATCACGGATGATTTCATAAATGTTCCATTTAATCTGAGTAATTGAGAAATGGTTAATAGTAAAATTACATTCAAAACATATTCATACAAATTATGCAGTTTAAGCATGTAGATCTGGAAAGATATAAATGAAAATGAATAAAAAAAATATTAATAAAAAAAATTAACTAGAGAAATATTAAAAGTAATAAAAAAATAATAATAAAAATATCGAGACCACTAGCACCAAAAAAAGCCATGTGTAAAACGATATTTAATTTACTCAATTAACATTTATCAAGTTATATGCTTAGTATTTATTTTCTGTCTGCACAAAAGTTTTACAACAATTTCCACTATACAACACAATACTCTCAAGTTATTGTTGCATGATCTAACTTTGGTTATTGTCGTTTCAGCAACTGCTGTAACACGAGGTTGTTGAGATACCTGATTTTAATTAATTAATTAATTAATTAATTAATTAATAAGAAATAAATTTTTTATAATAAAACTAAAAAATGCATCAATTATTTTTGAATATTTATAAAATTATTCTGTCACCTCCCATAAAATTAGCCTATCAATTCAATAAATTTAAAAAATTATTTTTCTCTAGACATGTAAACAAGACCTCAGAATAGGATAATGTGCAAAGCAGATGACAGACGATCATTGAGTAGTTTTAACAATAACACTAGTAAAGTTAAATAACAATAATAACAATGCGTGATGTGGAAAACATTATCTGTGAAGTAATTTGTGGCAACAGTAGCACCCAAAAAAATGACAATGACCTTTGTAGTTTTGTTGACCTTTCCATATAAGGATGTGTTAGATGGAGGTGCAGGTAGAGGTTCCTCTGAATCAACACTGTCATTGTTGTAACGCTAGAAAGATTTGCGCATTTATTAAATGTTACTTAGAAATTTGAATAAGCTTCATCCATTATTTCATTACACTTTTCAATAGTTTTTCAATCATTTTTTTCAAGCTGTTTTTAAAACTTCCATATTTAAAAAGTTATTAAGGAGAAGCCAGTGTTGACATTGAAAACAATCTCGTAATTAATCATGATCATGAAACTTATCGTTGACAGCAAAAAAAATTACACTCATGCTTTTCGGCTGCTGAAACATACACGAACATATTTGCATATTACATATCAAACAATTCACTGAGCATAACCTTGTGAAACAATATAATAAAAAACTAACTGAATCATTATTATTGCTGAGGTTATTACTGTTGATAAGGATGGGTGGATATTTCTCCCACCTAGACACCACCTGGTTGGTTTCTTGCGTTTTCTCATCCATACTCTTTGTATCACTCAGTAAAGTCATTTCATAGTACTCTTGAATGTCTGAGAGACAAAAGAGGAAATAAATATAAGCAATCCATTTTGCTGATTGTAACATGAATTAAAGTTAGCTAATGAAATGATAAAGTTTAAATCAAATTTTCAATATATTTGATTGAATGAGTTTCTATTAGACATGCATCATCTAATCATATTTGTTAAACATTCACTTTCATCATTATTTTCCAGCTGATTCATAGCTGATTCATAGCTGATTCATAGCTATAACTGTTGCATTCATTTTCATTCCAGGCATGCAAAATTTTTAAGTTTACAAGTCACTAAAAACTGTCCAAGTTTATATTTTTTTTTTTTTATTTATTTATTTAAAGGATAACCAAAAAAAGATAAACTTGTGGTTAGGCCACCCTTAACTAAGAATTCCAACTGTAAATGTAACAGAAATGTCAAATAAATACATACACACAAATTCTTACTATAAATGTAACAGAAATGTCAATAAATACATACACACAAATTCTTACTATAAATGTAACAGAAATGTCAAATAAATACATACACACAAATTCTTACTGTAAATGTAACAGAAATGTCAAATAAATACATACACACAAATTCTTACTATAAATGTAACAGAAATGTCAAATAAATACATATACACAAACACATGCTCACACGTACATCATTCTATGAATACTATCATGTTTCATAAAGTACCTAAAGGTGACAGTATAGTCACAACTGAGACTGAAAAATTCGCTTACTAAGAACATCAAAATTAAATAAGTTGTAAAATAGTGTAAAACTATTTAAAATAAGTGTTTTTTTTAACTAAAAAAGTTTTTAGCTTGTTTTTAAATAAGTGTAATGAGTTGAATGTTTTAATTTCATGTAGCAATACAGTATCCCATATCCTCTGACCATTAAGTTTGATGCTTGAGTGAAAAGCTTTTAATCTCACAGTATGAGAATAGAAAAGGGAAGTGTGTCTAGTAAATTTCCTTTGAATGTCATTGCTAAAAGTGAAAAAATTGGCAAAATAATTAGGCAACTGTTGACGTAAAAATTTAAATACAAAAATTGATGTGAAATAAATGTGCAATTTTTTAATGGGTAAAATGTTGAGTGTCGAATAGTAAGCATTGGTTATATGAGTACGCGGTGGAAGAGTAAATATTAGTCTTATAAACCGATTTTGACATTTTTGAATATAATTTAAATGGCTTTCTGGACTTCCGCCCCATAAAAGATTACAATAAATTAAATGTGGATATATTAGGGTATAGTAAAGTTCAATCATTATGTCATAGTTTATTTTTGATTTGATTTTATATAATATACCTAGTATTTTATTGATCTTAGTTGAAATTGATTTTATATGTGGTTCCCATGAAAGATCATCATTTATTAACACACCTAAAAAATTTGTAGAGTATGATCTAGGTAATGCCAGACTGTTAATTCTTATATCAAGGTTGCCTATTGTGTTAGTAATTATTCTGGGGCCGAATAACACATATGAACATTTTGTAAAATTAACAACTAATTTATTGAGAATAAACCAATCTACGAATTTTTGCAATTCTTGGTTTATGCGATCACTTTCCAGTTTAAAATCCCTTGAAGTAAAAAATATGTTAGTATCGTCCGCATATAGTAAAATATTTGCCGAATCAGTCACATTGACAATGTCATTAATGAACAAAACAAACAAAAGAGGTCCTAGAATAGAGCCCTGCAGAACTCCACTGTTGATGTTTAGACATTCTGATTTAAATCCTTCTAATGCAACATATTGCTTTCTATCCCTACCTCTATATGAAAAAGAACCCTGTGGTATAGCCTGAATTAAATTTATAGCATTTGAACAAAAGTAACTGCTGTCAAGAGAAACATCTAATCATTTTAAAAAACATTTCATATGATTAATCTACTTATTTTTCCAACAAAACCTAACTAAAGATGAGTAGATCTAGCTTATTTGAGACCTAATATGGATACACTCTTCCAACCAATTTCTATTGCAGTTCCACTTATGATCAGAGCTTGAAAATCTACTTAAAATTGTTGTATTATCAGTTTATTGCATAGTAGGAATTAATTAATACTAACATGCAAATACACACATAGAGATTTAATTTTTAAAATATTATAAATATGTAAAAAAAATAATTACTTCTATAACTATTAATTTTTGATCAATATTCTAGAAAAAATATTAAGAAAACTAACCTAGGAGTGCTTGAAAGAGCCTTCCTTTAAAAACCCTTATAACTCGTTCTATTGCATTTCTCAGCTGTCGGTCTTGAGGTTTTGTTAATTTACTATGATACTGTTCCAGCAATTCCAGAGCTCTGTGCGCATCTAGGAAAGATTTTTTAAAAATAATGGAAATCTTATGGAAAAATATTTAATATAGAATTCAAAATTGACTCAGAATGAATAGAAGCAAACCAAACTGATTAACCAATTATTTAATTTTAATTTAATAATGAACAAATTGACAGTTTCATCAAGCTCTTATTAATTTATGATCAATGTAGTTGATAATACTTAATCACAAACAATTTGTATGGCTCATCATAGTAATGACAACCAAGTGTCATGTCATTTCTACCAAACTAAAGATATTGATTAATTAAAAAATCAAGTAAAAAGTAAAATAAAATAAAATTGAAATGCAAGTTTGATTATTAATTAATTACATTTGAAAAACAATTAAAATTTAAAGAACAAGAAGCTACCTTCACGCTTGACAGGCATTGTTGGACCTGATTAAATCTTTATTTCAGGTTATGAGTCTGTTTTCATTAAAAATTAACTAATCTGCTCAAATTTACAATTTACATTTAAAATTTAAATGCTAATTTTAAGTTGTAACTGACTATCGAAAACAACTGAAAAAAAACTACAGTGCGTTTTTTAATTGCGCAAAAATACAACACGCATTAAGCGAACAATAAATAGGGACCGGTTTAGTGACAGTTAGGAAACTATTATTTATATTACCTTCCATTTAACACAGGTAACAAAATGTTGTTAGCTGTTATCTCTGTTCGATAGATGTCAGATTTTGTGTTTTGAAAATAAATAAATTAATAAGTGTTTATTATTTTATTAAAATTCGAATAATAAATAATAAATAAAAAAAATTATCAGAGCAAAAAATTATTATCGTTATTAATTTATTTTATATCGAAAATATACCACACTGGGATTAATAGCATAGAACTTATAATTGCAAGATTTTTGACAGCAAAGCGTTCGTGACGTAATTTGCTAATAATATGGAAAAGTGTCTTTTGTTGTCGTCACTTCCTGATCGATTTTATAAATTATTTGATTTTGTCAACGTTAAATTAACTGCAAAAAATGGCCTCCTGTATAATGATAAATTAAATTATCATATTTTGATAATCGCATGTCCAGAATGAAATGCATGTGTATCTACCATTCTGTCCATGTCCCGTTTTTAATCATAAACATTCATGGGCGTCATTTCAGATTTTGGATGGGGGAACAAACTTATAAGGTCCATGACAGGGCATGTGTGTGTGCGTGTGTGTATTTGTGTGTATTTGTGTGTGTGTGTGTGGGTTCCGTGATGGGTGGACAGATGCGGTAGCCAGATACTTGCTCTTACTTACATACATCATTCATTTGTATGTTCCTTTGTGTAGAGACATTTTTAGTTCAATTTTTACCCTCTTCTTTTCTTTTCTTCATGAGTTTTTCGTATTATTTTGTAAACAACTTGCAAAAATATCAATAATTAACTGGTTCAACTATAAAAAAATAAAAAATATATAAAAAATTTTTTTTTAATTTTTGTGGAATATTGCAGGCAAGGAAACACTGGCCCTCTTGATCATTTCAAATAAGTCGTCAAACTAATACTAAACTGTTTGCGTGTGTGCTTCTGTGTATTTGTTCGTAACGATACTTTAATATTTATTACAGTTATTAAACAATATTCAAACATTTAAACGAAATTTGATAATCTGAAACATGGTATTGAAAATTTGAGGTCACAAGATAAATCTGCATGTACAGGTACAACGCTATTAGATATAGGAAAAATCAATAAAAATTAGTTTAGAAAAAAAATCCACAAAAACCGCAATTTATAAAATATATTAACTTGTATTAATTTCCATCACTATCACAATCAATAAATTATATTTAATTTACAGGTTATTAAGTTTTTTTCCACAAAAAATTATTTAGTAAATACATAACATTATAATAGAAATAATTAAATAAGGATTTTGCTATTTTGTTTTTCAATTTTAATCATGAATAAAATTATAACTAAAAGAATAAATCATTTCGATAATCAATTATACGAGTCTTTCTTGAACATTTATTCATTGAACAAAAAAAAAACAAGTACATACAACATGGATACATACAACATACATCCATGACATACAACGAGAAAACAAAATAACGTAATACAAATAGTTTACACGTTTCTATACCCATTAACCATTCCAATAATTGAGCGAATGAAGACATTTAGAAATGTTTTAACACAGGTTAAATAAAAACACCTCAACAAAATACTTTCAGTATAAGACTTCCGGACATGTAATAAATTCTTTTTCGATTTCTCAAGAAGAATGTACTTGATTTTTTTTCAATAAATAAATTTTCGAGTAGGACTTGAGTTTAGTCTAATCTATCA